TGAAGATGTTGCTGCTGCGTATGATGACGATGTCTACGATGGCGATGATGCTGATTGTGGTAGTGGTGATGATGATGTCGGGTGATGATGGTGATGATGGTGGTAAGACTATTGAAGGTGGTGGTGATTGATGCTGATGTTAACGACGGCGATGATGATGCGGATGGTGATGATGATGCTGACGGTACTGTTGCTGTTCACGTTGTTGCTGCTGCTGATGATACTGTTGATTCTGATGCTTTTGCTGCTGATGATGATAGTGGTGGTGATGGTGGTGATGGTGATGCTGATTATGATGCTTCTGATGATGTTGACGCCCATGATGACGATGTTGATGCAGATGCTGGTAATGTTGATGATCCTGATGCTGATGACGATTCTGATGCTGATGCTGATGCTGTTGATGATGATGCTGATGCTGTTGATGATGATGATGATGATGATGATGATGATGATGATGATGATGATGATGATGATGGTGGTGGTGCTGCTGATTGTGATGATGCTGATGCTGATAACGATGCTGATGATGCTGTTTCTAATGATGCTGCTGATGATGCTGATGCTGATGCTGATGATGCTGATGATGATGATGGTGGTGTCGATGCTGATGCTGATGCTGACGCTGCTGCTGATGATGATGCTGATGCTGATGATGCTGATTCTAATGATGCTGCTGATGATGTTGACGACAATGATGATGATGCTGATGCTGACGATGACGATGTCGATGATGCTGCTGATGATGATGACGATGATGCTGATGATGGTGATGTTGATGATGATTGGGGTGGTGATGCTGATGATGGGGATGCTGATGAGCTGACCACGATGCTGATACTGATGCTGCTGTTGATGATGATGCTGCTGATGATGATGATGCCGATGCTGCTGCTGATGATGATGATGATGATGATGATGATAGCGATGCTCATGATGATGATGCTCATGATGATGATGCTGATGCTGATTATCATGATGCTGCTGATGCTGCTGATGGTGATGATGCCGATGTTGCTGATGATGATGATGGTGATGCTGATGCTGATGCTGAGAATGATGATGATGATGATTATGCTGATGCTGAGGATGCTGATGCTGATGATGGTAATGCTGGTGATGCTGCTGCTGTTGATGATGATGATGATGATGATGATGATACTGATGGTGGTTATGATGACGATGTTGATGCTGCTGCTGCTGATGATGATGATGACGATGATGCTGCTGCTGATGATGCTGCTGATGATAGATGCTGATGATGATGCTGCTGCTGCTGATGATGATGATGATGATGATAAGGATGATGATGCTGCTGTTGATGATGATGCTGATGATGATGACGATGATGATGATGATGCTGATGAGGATGAGGATGATGATGATGCTGATGATGATGATGATGATGATGATGATGATGATGATGATGATGATGATGATGATGATGATGATGATGATGATGATGTGAGCAGGTGATGATGAGGAGGAGGTGGCGGAGGAGGAGGAGGAGGACGTGGCAGGAACATGCAGAGGAAGGGGAGGAGGTGGAAGCGGAGGAGCATGAGCAGGATGAGGAGGTCGAGGGAGATGGGGAGGACAGAGGAGGAGGAGGAGGAGCAGCAGGAGCAGCAGGAGGAGGAGGAGGAGGCAGGAGCAGGAACGAGTAGGAGGAGAAGGAAGATGAGGAGGAGGAGGAGGAGGAGGAGGAGGAGGAAGAGGCGGAGGAGGAGGAGTGAGGAGAAGGAGGAGGTGGAAGAGGAGCACTTCTAGGAATTCGAGATGAAGGGCGTCTGCAGTCGGCTCGGCCTCTGCGACTCCCGCTGTCTCCGCACCAGCGGAAGCATCATGCACCTTGGCGGGCGCCACACAGCACCAGGACGAAGGAAGACGTGGAGGCAATGGCCTTGGGAGGTTGTTCAACCGCGTCGCCCACGACAACAGGATACCAATGATAACGTTGAGAAGTGCGTCGCCGCGTGCGAGTCTGCACTGCGCCTAAGGAGACGAGGGCGCGCGCCTTTTCGCGGCAATTGATGGACTCGCAGAAACCACTAACTCGCTCACCACTGGGGTGCTTTAGTACTTGCGCCAACCACGCCAAGTGTTCTTGACGTAGCACTCACAGCAAAAGTCATGCAGCTGCACCTCGGAACGCGAGTCGCCACCATGGGAAATGACGGGCACAAAGCCGCTCCTCCCACTTTGGCTGAGCAGCGAGACCAGGCCGTATAAAGCCGCTGTGTGGGGGGCATGGCTGATCTGAAAATCTCTTCACCCACAGTCATGCTGACGATGTGAAATCAAGGACATGACAAGTACGTAATTAGCGGCTCTGCGGACAACTGGCGGCATTCTCAAGGCCGCCCATTGCTCTGAAGACGTGAGCTCGACAGTTGGTTTCCAGAGCAAGTCTTGACGCTTCGCCAGTCCCCATCAGCCCATCTAGAAACGATGGCCGGGCGAGTTGCCTTGATCAGGGAAGTGTGGGAGTAGTAAGAAAGAGAGTGGGCAGCCGTTGAACCAAAGTGCGGGATCGGCCTGAGCAGTTCCAGGAGGCAACCAGCAATGCCTTCGCGGATCTTTCGATAAGGAAGATTGGGGTCTTATTTTTGAGCCCTGGGGGCCATTTTGGATGCCTCTGGGGCTCTCTTGGGGCCCTCTCGGGGCTCTCTTGGTGCCCTCTTGGGGGCCTTTCGGGCTTTCTTGGGGTACATTTTGGGGGAGATCGAGCACTCGCCTCTTGGTGCCCTCTTGGAGCGCTGCTAGTGCGCTCTTGGTGCGCTCTTGGGCGCTCTTGGGGCCGTCCTGGCGTCCTTGTGGCTTCCTCAGAAAAGCACATCTCGTCTCAGGTTCCGGGCGTACCGTTCCTCAGTGTAGCCCTCGCGCGTATAATGCATGCCCGTGACGGGCTACTGCTTGCACAAGGGTAAGCGTTGTAGAAGTCAGTGGCCGCATCGACTTTTTCGCGGCGAGCTCCGGTACACCATGCTTACTTGCATAATGGCAATTCGAACCAGGTCAACGCCACATGGTCTCTGTTTATGGCCCCCTCTTGGGGCTCTCTTGGGCGATCTTGGAACCGTCTTGAGGCCTCACACGCCCATCTGAAGCGGCAAGGCGAGAATGCCAAATTCATTACGCAACTTGATCTTTTTGAGGTAAGGACTCTTGGGGGCGTCCTTGAGAGGATCTGAAGCCAGTTGGATCAGGATGCGATGCCGTCTTGGTAGCTCTCTTGGGCGATCTTGTGGCCATCTTGGCGCCTTAGAAGCCCGTCGGAAGCGCGAGGGCGAGACGGCCACCTCGTTGGGCTATCGTATGCAACGGGCTGTCTTGGGCTATCTGGGGTCATCTTGGGGCTGCAGTGATGCGTGTTGGCTGCTGCTATGTGTCGTCCCCCCGTCCAGGCACTGGTTATGCGGTAGGGGATTCCCGTCCCCAACGGCAGGCATGGGGGTTGTAATAGACAGCGCTCTAAACGACCTACGCTCAGAGGGCTGATGGTATTCATGGAGTTCTCGCTTTGGGTTTCCCTTCCGCCTCCCGTTTGCATTTACACAAACTCACGCGGCCTTCCGAGAGTTCCCCTCGAACGCGGGAATAGGTCAGTGAACTTGCACGGCACACGCACATACCCCATGCGGTATGTGGCACACGGCACCTCGGATGGCTACGGGCTGGCTCGTTTGAGCGCAGGTACTCTGAGCCGAACTTACAGCTTGGTGGAGGAAGCGGCTGAATAGGAGGAGGACTAGCATCGGTGGCATGATGAAGATGCTAGAGAGAGAGAGAGAGAGAGAGAGAGAGAGAGAGCGACACACACACATACACACCTATATGTATGTTATATATATATATATATATATATATATAGGTATCCACGTCGATACATACACATACACACACACACATATATATATATATATATATATAGAGAGAGAGAGAGAGAGAGAGCGAGATAGAGAGAGCGAGGGAATACATATATATATATGTATATATATAGATATATACATGAGAGAGAAGGGGAGATGATGAGGAGGAGGAAGGACAAGGAGGAGGAGGCGGAGGAGGAGGAGGAGGAGGAGTGATTATAAGAAATATGCGGACGAGGAACACATTTTGGAGTTCGAGGGCTGAGGAGGGAGAGCAGAAGGAACATGGAAGAGGAGGGGGAGTGAGGAGAAGGAATGAGGGCTGAGAAGGAACAGGAGGAAGAGGAGGAGGAGGAGGAGGAAGGAGAGAAGGAGGAGGAAGAAGAGGAGGAGGAGGAGGAGAGGAGGAGGAGGAGGAGGAGGAGGGGAAGGAGGAGGAGGAGGAGGAGGAGGAGGAGGAGGAGGAGGAGGAGTGAGGAGAATAACGAGGTGGACGAGGAAGAGGATGACGGGGCAGGAACATGTTAGTGGAAATGGGGGAGGAGGAACTGGGAATATCAGAAGCAGGATGAGGAGGTCGAGGGGGATGGGGAGGGCAGAGAAGGAGCAGGATGAGAAGACGGATGGTGACGAGGATGATGAGGATAATGAGCCTCGGTGATGGAGGATGAGGGTTGTGATGCTGACGCTGGCGACGATGATGATAATGATGATGATGCTGATGATGATGATGCTGCTGATGATGATGATGATGATGATGATGGTGCTGATGATGATGATGAATGTGCCGGGGACGACGCTGATGATGTTGATGATGAGTGTGATGGTGATGGCGGCGATGGAGATGACGATGACGATGGCCATGCTGGTGTTAGCGATGATGCTGAGGATTGAGACGATACTGGCCAGGGGGACGGTGATTATGACGAAGGTGTTCTATATGCTGAACACATGGTAATGGTGATGGTGGTGAGGATCATGGTGGTGGTGGTCATCATGATGATGCAACTGACGACTGCGAAGATGATGGTGGTGGCGGTGATGAAGCTGACAACGATGCTGTCGACGATGTTTGTGCTTATGATGTCGCTGGTGATGGGAGGAGGAGGATGAGGAGGCAGAGGAGCACGAGGAACGCGGACAGACGGAGGGCAGGAGTACAGGAGGAGGAGGAGGAGGAGAGAGGGAGGGAAGCTATGGATGGGGAGGGAAGCTGTGGATGAGGATGATGATGCGGATGATGGTGAATGGTGGTGGTGGTGGTCGCGATGCGGATACTGATTATGATGCTGATGATGGCTATTCTGATGATAGAGGTGATGCTGATGCTGATGATGATGCTGATGATGATGATGATGATGATGATGACGATGCCGATGATGCTGCTGACAATGATGACGATACTGTTTATGATGGTGATGCTGCTGATGATGCCGACGATGCTGATACTGCTGCTGCTGATGCTGATGCTGATGCTGCTGGTGATAATGCTGATGCTGCTGGTGATGATGATGCTGCTGGTGATGATGATGATGATGATGATGATGATGATGCTGAGGATGGTGCGGGATAGGACGATGATGCAGATTCTGGTGTGGGCGACGTCGATGCGGATGCTGCGTATGTCAATGGCGATGCTGATGCTGCTGCTGATGGTGCTGATGATGATGTTGATGACGACGATGATGATGTTGATGCTGATGATGATGTTGTGGATGCTGCTGATGATGTTGATGATGCTGACGATGATGATGGCGAGGTGCAGGGGGGGGGGTTGGTGATGGTGATGCTGCTGATGCTGATGCTGCAAACGATGCTGATGCTGCTGAAGATGATGCTGATGCTGATGATGATGATGCTGACGCTGACGCTGATGCTGATACTGATGACGGTGCTGATTATGATGATGCTGATGCTGCTGATGATGCTGATGACGCTGCTGCTGATGTCGATGTTGAGGTTGGTGCTGATGCTGATGTTGCTTTGGTTGGTGATGGTAATGCTGCTGATGATGGTGGTGGTGTTGGTGAGCATGCGGATGGCGATACCGATTGTTTTGGCTATGATGTTGATGATGTTGATGCTGATTGTCATACTTGGTGATGTCGATGCTGATGTTGATACTGCTACGACTGCTGTTACTAGTGGTGTTACTACTACAACTGCTGCTGATGATGATGCTGCTGCCGATGCCGATGATGCTGATGATGCTGATGATGATGCCGATGATGATGCTGCTGATGATGATGCTGATGATGATGATGAGGATGAGGATGAGGATGATGCTGCTGCTGATGCTGATGAGGATGATGAAGATGATGCGGATGCTGATGGTTGAAGTGGTGGCGGTGGTGAGGCGGATGATGATGACGTGGATGAGGTCGATGATGCTGGCAACGATCAGGATACTCAGGAGGATGAGGAGGAGGACGAGGAGGAGAACGATGAGGAGGAGGAAGGTCATGAGGAGGCGGATGAGTAGGAGTAGTAGGAGGAGGATGAGGAGGAGGAGGAGGAGGAGGAGGAGGAGGAGGAGGAGGAGGAGTAGGAGAAGGATAAGGGGGAGGAGGAGGAGGAGGAGGAGGAGGAGGAGGAGGAGGCGGAGGAGGAGGAGGAGGATGAGGAGGAGGAGGAGGAGGAGAAGAAGGATGGGGAGGATGAGGAGGAGGAGGAGGAGGAGGCCGAGGAGGTGGAGGCGGGGGAGGCACCTGGAAGGCCCTGAAGAGACCGCGGACGTCCAGAACTAACCTCGGCACTCCTCCGTGAACTCCTCTTGTCCTCGATCCTGGCGGAGGGGAATGTAGGGCTTCTTTCCCCTCCTTGGCGACTCTCTAGGCGAGCAGGCTTGCGGTCACCGTGAAGAACACGTTCGTCGACATGGACGACGAGTGCGGCCCGAAGTGTGCCACGCGGAGCTCTTCAAGGAAGAGTAGGAGCAGGAGGATGGTGACGACGACGGAGGGTAGAGGACGATGAAGATGATGAGGATGATGAGGGTGATGCGGATGATTAAGATGATGAGAATGATGATGAGGATGATGATGATGTTGATGCTGTTGATGATGATGTGGATGATGCTGATGCTGATCCTGATGATGCTGATGCTGATGCTGATGCAGATGCTCGTGTGGCTGCTGCTGATGATGCTGCAGATGATGCTGCTGCTAATGCAGATGATGATGCTGGCGATACCGTGGATGGTGATGAT